AATGTAAAGTTACATACTTTAAAGTAGAGAATGTAAAGTTACATACTTTAAAGTAGAGAATGTAAAGTTACATACTTTAAAGTAGAGAATGTAAAGTTACATACTTTAAAGTAGAGAATGTAAAGTTACATACTTTAAAGTAGAGAATGTAAAGTTACATACTTTAAAGTAGAGAATGTAAAGTTACATACTTTAAAGTAGAGAATGTAAAGTTACATACTTTAAAGTAGAGAATGTAAAGTTACATACTTTAAAGTAGAGAATGTAAAGTTACATACTTTAAAGTAGAGAATGTAAAGTTACATACTTTAAAGTAGAGAATGTAAAGTTACATACTTTAAAGTAGAGAATGTAAAGTTACATACTTTAAAGTAGAGAATGTAAAGTTACATACTTTAAAGTAGAGAATGTAAAGTTACATACTTTAAAGTAGAGAATGTAAAGTTACATACTTTAAAGTAGAGAATGTAAAGTTACATACTTTAAAGTAGAGAATGTAAAGTTACATACTTTAAAGTAGAGAATGTAAAGTTACATACTTTAAAGTAGAGAATGTAAAGTTACATACTTTAAAGTAGAGTATGTAAAGTTACATACTTTAAAGTAGAGAATGTAAAGTTACATACTTTGAAGTAGAGAATTGAATTTACATATTTTAAAGTAGAGAATGTAAAGTTACATACTTTAAAGTAGAGTATGTAAAGTTACATACCTTAAAGTAGAGAATGTAAAGTTACATACTTTAAAGTAGAGTATGTAAAGTTACATACTTTAAAGTAGAAAATTATCTTTCCTCCTACTCAGTTGAAAACTCCCACGTCTGTCTGCTTGTAAACATAAATTAGTTTGTTTGTTTGAGTGGTTTTACGTCCGCCTCGCCACTGGGCGGTTTTACGTCCGCCTCGCCACTGAGTGGTTCGGTTATCCAGCAGACGGAAAATAGAAACACATGTGCTTTGTATAAATGTCGCCTAGACGCTTTGCAATTGATTTTCAAAAGATAATAAGATATTTTTTGTCCTATAATTGCAACTTCAATTTATTTATCCATTATTTCAAAACAAAGGGGTCTATATTGTCCTTTTAATGAACTTATTTGGATCAAAATAATTATCAATAAATGTTTATTATGATTACAATAAACTGTTTCTAGTTCTGTTCTTTATCTGTTATTTTGCGTTGTCAGAGAAATAATTCATGGCTAAAACGGATGACAATTCTGAAGGAGGGGCGATTTTTTCTCTCCAAATAACAGCCACCTTTCATAATGTTTAACAGGTGCAGCAGATCCGTTCAAGTTTATTGACCAATTATTTTCCGTTCTGTTAAATAATTGTCTGTCTACGCACACCACGCTGTCATCATATGATATTGTTTTGTATTAATGATTCGAAATGTGCTTTATCATAAATAACGCAGAGAAACACATTTCAGTGACCAACTGTTTTGTTCAAATACATTACTATTTCAATTTACGTATGGAATTATATAACACTTAGATTACATAGATTACATGTGATACACACTTTCATTTCAATTCAAAATATATCTGGGAAATATTTATTTAATACATTAATACAAAGCATCCTAGGATGTTTCATGTACAAGGACAAACAATAACTAATATAACATTTCGAAATATATACATATTTCAGCAGTGTTTATTATGGTCCCCCTTTCTTAAAATCCCAAATAAAACTAATTGCTAAAAGATAATTGTTACAATTGTAGCTTCATTTAAACGATTGAAATATGAATATCAAAACCTTTCTCGATCTTTTATTTCCCTTTTGGAAATATTAATGATGTTTTGTCCTTGGAAAATAAGAATTTCTTTGATTTCCTTTATCTTCTTGAACTTAAAAAAAGGTATCACATTCCCCTTGACTTCAACTTTATATCCTGAAAATTATATATAGCGTGACAACCGTTTGCATGTCACAGTTGATTCGGTTCCCGAGAGCATAGATAGATAAGAGTCTAAGAGTGTTAATTCTGTGTTTCAGGATTTCTGGATAGGTATGTCCTGTTCACCAATAAGCTAATAAGTTAAGATGAAAAAGCGCTCCAGAATCCCTTTTTTTATAGTATCAGGAATTAATTGAATTGCTTGATACATACGTCCTGATCATTAATAAAATAATTATCCAAGGTTTTCCGCTAGATCACATTCAATCTACACTGTGGCTGTTAGGCCGTTATAGACTTTTTTCCTATTTTACATATTTTCTGGGTTTGTTTTAGACATATGCAGTAACTGTGTTGACAAATTATATTGTACGGTGCCAAAACGTGCCTTTTTACGAATTTTCAAATAATTATGACTTATAATATCAAGATAGAGAATGACATATCCTCCGATTCAACTGAAAACGTCCACGTCTGTCTGTTTGCAAACCGAAGCACTTTTGTGGCGTATGATAACCTATTATCAGTATTTTTTATTTATCATTTCAAAATCAATTGCGCCAATATTGTATTCCTAATGCACCGATATGATATGATTCAAAATAGATTTGCTATGATTGCAATTAATTGTTTTTTGATCCACACATACATATTCATTTTTGCACTGACAGAGAATTCACTAACGGCTAAAACGGGAAACAACTCTATAAAGGATGGTTGATTTTTTTCCAAATAATAATCGCCTTTTGTACTATTTCACAGGTGCAGTAGATCCGTTAAGATTTATTGACTATATTTTTTCCGTTTTCTAAACTAATTGACTGTCTAATCAAACCATAGTCATCACATGACGTGTTTCCTTTAACATACACTATCATGGGGAAATGTGCTTCATCATATACGACGCATTTTCGTGACTACATTTTTTCTTTCTTTTTTTTTTCTCTCTTTTTGTTAAATGACACCTTAAACTATTCAACATTTGGATTAAGCGTGATACACACTTTCTTGTTTATTAAATAGAATCTCAGAAATATGTATTTAGCCTACGATGACTTTTATACAAGGACAATAGTTCATCAGTATTACCCACCAGCATATACATTTTGCTTCATTGTTTAATATGGTTCTTTAATGAAAGTCCCCAACAAAAACAATTATAATGGTTTACGCAAATTATCACTGGTTGCAAAATATAAGTAAGTTGCAATGTATTGGCCAGTCTTTTTGCTAAAATTGGTGATGTGTTTAAAATATGCTGGCATCTGAGTTTTTAACTTGTTGTATATTGCAGATACTTTGAAGTACAGCTATTAGTATGATAACGCATTCACCAATGTATTTCATATTCAAAATAATGTCTCTGTATGTTGACTTTCTGGTGTGCTATTACATATATGGGAAAATAAAAACAAAATAAATCTATCTTTGAAAATCTTTAAAATAACGAAACAGCGTCGCATAACTCTCAATGTTGTAGTCTATATGGATCACAATACATTAACTTATGTCATACATGGTATTGAATTATCGTGTCAATATTATTGAGTATTGAAACTATCAATTATTTATCAGATTTGGGAGCCGCTAGGAAAGAATCCACCGGCCCTATCCAATTGAATGTTAAAATGAGATGACTGATATATAATATCGCTTATAAAAAATAAAACAAAAGACAGAGATAGCGTCTCTAGGCCGAAATAAACAGTCTCCTGATGAACGGGGAATCAACCCGAGAAAGGCCTAGAGACGCTATCGCTGTCTTTTGTTCTATTTTTTATATTTAATTCCAACACAAGGACTTCTCAATGTTTTTTTTAATATCGCTTATATATCGATAATTCTGATGAAAATATGATGGTGATGATGATGATGATGATGATGATGATGATGATGATGATGATGATGATGATGATGATGATGATGATGATAAAAGGATGATGATGATGATAAGAGGATAATGATGATAGAATGATAATGATGAGGATGATGACTAAGGGAGGATGATGATGTAAGATTATTCTGAGATTATTTTGATTTCATCCATGTTTAACCTTTTCTACGACAATTTTCTTCGTGGACCTTTTGGTAATACGACCGCTTATGCGTCTACTACCTGTACCTTATTGTGTTGTCGAGTCATTTAAATAATGATGATATTACGATATATTAACATGTAACTGTAGATTTCGCTTGAAACTAAGATATCTCGAGATTTCTTTTATGTTGGCTCAGAAAAAAAAGAGAATCAAGCAGCTTTAATTAAAAAATATTTAAACCCCTGCAACTATTGCGTTGTTCGAACTATTGCAGAAATAGGTAAACGCTAATGTAAAATATTTATGTGAAGATATATAAGCACATCCATGCTGAACATGTTGTCCTATACATTTAAACGGCCACTCTGTTTAATATTTTAATTCTTCATTCAAATTTAATCCAGGATTATTTTGATTAAGTTTAACTTAATGATATTACCAGTTTTTGTTTTTCTGTTGGTAGTTTATGTTTTAAAAAATAATATTCCCCTAATGACGGATTAAAAAATGATGACGTTCAGTTTTTTAATTGTTCTGACCTCAATTCTTATAGAATGCCTAGTAGCGGTGGATCTGACGATATACACGTATAGATCTTGCATGCGCCCTGACGTACATTCACCATCTTATACATACATGTGTGGTTTCATAAAAGTCACATGAGGTCATCAATTTACAATGATAGTTTTTAACGTTTTGCAAACAAAAGTTATGACGTCAGAATAAGTCGTGTATTCATTGGTCAACATACCTAGATATTTTAACAGGGTTCCTTTGGAAACCATTTTTTCTTAAAATTACTTTACTGTCGATAATTGTAAATCAACACGAACACAATATTCTTAATGAAGCTTTTTAAATCTTTTTGTTTTGATCGTTACTCCTTAAGGTTTATATGTGGTTTGAAAAGGAAAAAACAATGTTTTAGAAGATAAGTTTTGAGACGGCCCTATTTCAATATGACCTGTGTGGTAAAAGAAGGGCGGGGCGAAGTGTCTCGTCATAAAATAAACGTTTTGAGTGCATTGCCGAGGGCAGACTTACCACCTCGTCATAGCCTGAGGCATATCTCCGGTTTGAGTGACAGTATATATTGTCTGCACCTACACATATTGCCTGTCAGTGAACAGTCTTCAGACTACACCTATTACTGGACTCGTACACACAGGTAAGCTATAATTCCTATTCTTATGTAAGATAATTAACACATGCCTATTTATCTCGGATTTTACCACCTTTTAAAAAATTTCCATTTTTAGTTATTTTTAGCATCATATTCTGATCATGACAGTGTTATGGTTACGATAAACGTTTGAGACAGTATATTGTCGTGATTCCACGCAATACATACACTTGAACAGTGACTCTCATGATTTCATCAGTAATATTTTTGCTATTTAGCGATTCAACGATTTTCGTGATTATCATGCTATTCATATTCGAAGTTTTGTTTTATATCTTAAATAATAACAATTAAATATCATGAAATCATCTGGGTTTTTTTGCCATTGATAAGCGATATTTATAATGTTTCTCTGCTATACAAGTCATACCGTGTCGTACATGATTACAGTTCCAGAGAAATGTCTAATTCCGGAACAACATACGCATATGACTAATTATGTAGATTTACCTTTCGTTGCATTTTTACCTTCCTTCACTCCCACCACATTTTTTTGTGTTATTTATGCTTTTAGATTCTAACAGTAACAACATGTATCAGTGTGGTTTGGGACACAGGTATTTGAGTCACATACACATATTTTCCATAACATGATGGCAGTATGAGTCATATGGGACTAATCAACGTTTGTATCAGCCTGTTCAGGATTCCTCTGATAAAGTCTTTAAAAATCACTATAGTATTAAGATGGACAGAAATTACATCCCATTTTTATTCTTTTATATTTTCAAATATTTAGTTTAATGAATTCAGGTAAAGAAATTAAAAATATCAGTGTTCTTTTAATATTAATGCTTTTCATTAAGACATTTCAAACGTTGCAAAATTTAGGGATATGATGTTTTGTTTTTTTAAACTTGTGATTTGTAGTGTAGAAATGTGAAATGGTGATTTTTATTCAAAAACGTTTTGTTTTATATTGAAATTAATGATAACCACAAGTGTACTGTATATGGAGCTATTTATAGCTCAAATAACTGTCGAGACAATATACAACATTAGTTGATAAGATAAGATGCTGGCGGTCGTTCTCTGCTACTGTAATTTCAAAAATTCCTTCAGCCAATGGAAAATGACGTTACAAAGAAGACACAACATTTGTTATATAAGTATCAAGATATGGATATAAAACACTAGGATTTGTTTGTTTGTTTCATTTTTCAATATAAAAGTGTAATACTATGAATCGCTATATGCAAATGGTTTTGACCATGAATCACAAGATATTTAAATATGTAGCAATATAAATGATATATATATATAAAACATACTTGGTTTTGCGGTATCAGTATGCAAACGCTTGTTTACTATTTAGCAATGGTTGACATGCTATATTTCAAAATGAAATTCTAGCTGACTTTATTCAGGTTTCATGGAAACTGTGTTTTTGTCATTCATATAAGAATATCGTTCTATTAGGACAAATGTATACGGATATATATGTTGAAACTGATATACTGAAACCATACTTGGTTTTGCGGTATCTCCATGTAAGCGCTTTATTGATCTGCAGTGTTTACTATAGAAATACATGTTTTTTTCTGCAGTACAACAGTTCCTATAGTAGCATTCTGGTTACCACGATTCGTTTTTTAACATATTCTTAATTCCTTTTACTCTAACTAACACTGATGTTAAATATTTAGTTATATGATTTTTTTACTTTCGTTTGAAACTAAACTATGCATTTGTGGAAAGCACATTCGTTACCGGTGGTCGAGCATTCATTTCTGGAAAAGTCGTTGTCATCATATTCAATGGTTTATCTCTGGTTGTAATATATATATATATATATATATATGTGGGACAATAGCTAGTTTGTTATAACAGCGACACTAGTACATATTAACCTTTCGGCCAATGACATCTTGCTTAATCGACCATATATCAACCGATCATTAAAGATGTAACAAGTCTTTCATAGGATTTAACTCAACTTGCTATAGGTTTCATACATTCTGTAAAAAGCGTCACAACAGAAAGAACAACAGCAAATGGAATTTCCATTTTACAGTGTATACTAAGTTAGCGGTATTGATTGTATACCACTAGACATATACTGTACGTGTTAGTGTGGGCGGTGGGCGTATGGTAATAAGGAATGGGGAAAAAACGCTGTAGCAGATCTGATCAGTTAGGGAAAAGGTTTGATATATCATCTACCTGATGTCATTATTTCCTGAAGTATTTTCTAGGGTTTCGAAGGCATTTTCCTGTTATTAAACAGATATATTACACAAAAGTAGGGTACATGCTTTTCTTTACGTTTTCTTTGAAGGAAAGGTTCCAAGGCGGACACAATTGAACTTGACTCATCGCGTTGATATACACGCTAAATATAACACATTAAGTTGCATGGCCCTTGATTTACGTATGTGACATCTCCGAACATATTTGCATACATTATGTCATTCAAAAGGCTCCATTGCAGAATGAATAGAGTTAATTTCTCATTTCTATGCTATCCTTAATGATAACTGTGATAAGGAATTTCAAAGTTTTGTCTTTGATTCTTGATAACCGACATTCCGTTTAAAATTTGACAGGAAACATCATGCCGTCTGCTTAATAAAGTGTAGGACCGTTTCTAGAATGTGATTTATTGCATCATGTAGGATGATGTTGTCTTTTTGTTAAGGGTTTCCTGGACTCCAGTTGCTATCCTTTTTTTTTTTTATCGATTTTGATATTTGAATTGTCCTGGTGTTGATGTTATGTTGTAATTTTGTTTTCTTTTAATATAACGCAAATATTGCAAATACGAAATATTCTTTTTAAAAATCCTATAAAATATTCGTATTGCACAAACTTAACGATACATTGTCTCAGTTATCATGTGTTTAAAACAAAATGTATGGAAATTTCTTTATAGAAGTTATGCCGAAAGACGTCGTCAAATTGTGGCATAAGTTTTTTCTAAAGAAGAAACAGATAGCTCTTAAAGGTTGCCAATATATTTATTTGCACTGTCGCTCTAACTGATTAAATGAAGTTACCGTTGGGTTGTCGCAGCAATAATTTATCTCAATTTCTATTTGATTTATTTATCACTTTTTACAAAAGGTAGCTAAATCTTTATGAACAACACTGCCATTTCATTCACAAAGATAATTAACTGGTTTGATTTTGACTTTTGCACTATTTACTGCTTCTTTACTTGTTTACCTGTAGAACCACACACCATATGTGTATGTATAATGAAAGATTGCTGGTTGATTTATTATTGTGTTGTTCTCGGTGACAATAACCCTTCTGTTCTGTTTCCTTGATGTCATGAAGCAGTTCATCCATGGGTTCATTGCTTATGAATCATACTATATATGAAATGCATAATGCACGATCACAGTATATTTGGTTTGGTTCATTCTAGATATAGTTCTGGATATGCTTGTTGACTGATTCTTTTCTTTCTCTTTTTATTTCTCTTTTCAGTTAATTATTTATTGAAAATGAGCAAAATGCATTTTTAAGCAATGTTTTTGATTGAATGATAAATGACGTTCATTGTGGATAAAAAGGGAAAATCGTTTGGATACCGAAGTGCTAACAATATCGTTATTCGAAATTAACAACGAAGGCATTTTAACAGATAATAAGGAGACCATTTAAAAGTGCATTGATGATAAGACCAGGCGTTCCGTAAGGGTACAGTTATTTGGCTTCATCGACGACACCATCAATGAACATTGAACTCAAATGCCACTTCCTCAAACTGATTACCTGGGTAGCAATAAGGAAAACACAAAGGCACTCTAATGAGGACAATAAAAAAAATCTTCCTACATATCGCACAAGAAAATATAATGTTTCAAAATACGGTCATGGCAGCAATCCAGAAACTTTTACATATTCTTTATCAACCAACCTTTTGCAAAATCGTCCCTACTAAATGTGTCTGTCAGGAGTCGACATCTGTCATGCATTCGTGATATTTGGAGCAAACGCTTCATCATCGAAACAAGTGCGACATGCGCTCATCGTAGGTATCGAAGCAATATTGAATAAAACAGATTGATTAATATCTACATCAATTAAATTATTAGGTATCTGACTGAACTGAACAAAACTATGACAGATATAGTTAAACCTGTTTGTTTCAACACATTGGTCAGATTAAAAAGAATTCATTCTATTTTGATTAGAGTATACTTGTGGATTTAGCTTATGTCAGTTTAGAAAGGTGACACTTTATGTATTAACATAATTATATGATCAAAAGGTTGTCATAATTGCCAAAGGTCACTAAGCCTGATCGAAACCTTTACCTGTTAAACATTCTTCAGACAAGCTGACGACAGAATCAGACAAAGATGTTTTTGTAAGGCTGGTTGTTGTTTACATTTAAATAAAATTACAGTTTTAAAGATTTATGTATACATTTAAATGATGTTTCTTTTTTTAGACCAGGAAACTTGTAAGAGAATAAACGTTTTCATTTATAAATAATTCAAACCATTAAGTTATTTATAGTTTTACTTTTATATATCTCTGCATGATTTCCTATAACTATATGACTTACTTGAAAATTCACAAATGAATCATTTAATTTCATATTGAAATAGATTTTTTGAAACAAGTCTTGAACGACAATTTGTGTCCAGCTTGTTTGAGAATTGTCAAAACGTTGTTATGGATGAAATAGCTTATAAGGCCGATATGCTATCTTGTGCCAGATGAACTACTCTTATAAGCTACTATGGAACCTACGAAATATTTATATGACTAGATTTTTAACTAAGTTACTGTGAAATCGCTAACTTTCTTGGGGTTTGTAATTTCGTTGAATTCGTAAGTAATCTTCATCCAAGAATTCATAGGTCTACGAAATAATTACAAGTTTGGCATAAAATAATTCTCTGCTTGAGTGGGTACTCGTCATCTATGATATGGTGTTTTGACGGAACACCATGAAATTTGGGCCCCACGAAAATATCTGATTTCGCGGTAATTCATTTATGACTCATTTAAAACATACACATGCACGTCTACATTAAAGCCGAAATCATTTTAATCAAATATAGCGTTTCCTCGATAAATCCTGGTAGTTATTTGAATTCAGAATTTTTTTAAAATGGTCCAGAGAAATATCCAAATATTATTTTGAACCTTTTTCTGCTTATAAATTTTCAATATCATCATGTAAATGTGTTCACGTGAAGCATTTTTCAATCAAACTAATGATAAAGCCAAAACATTTAAAGATTATGTGTTATATTATTCTAATTAAGACTTGTACGATTAAGGAGGTATGGTATCTTATTGTAACTTACGTCTTCTTTTAAAAAGAGTTTCCCGCTGTTAATATGAAATATTCATTGTGGATTATTTTGTGTGTATTTCAAATAACATTTTGACAACGTTGAAAGATAGAGGCGCATTCAGTTCGGAATCGATATATTCCGTCTTTGCATATTGCAGAGTTATCTTCTCTTGTGAGCAGGTATTGATTGTTACGTCATTGGTTTCTGAGTGTAACGTCATCAATGTCGGAATAGTGAAATTATAGTATAATAGAGGGATAGATCAAATAGTAGGAGATATTACTCCAATAAAGTATAATATCTGTCTACAAAATTGTCACATAACAGCTGCCTCGAGTATCGGGGTTCGAATCCAATGCACATAAGTTCAAATGGTTTTTAACATTCTAAACCAACCGTGCAGAAGATATAGCCATGACTATTAAAACCAACGTTTTAAGCAGAGAACATTTGCAGTTCAAACATTAAACATTCGTTATAAAATAGCATGATAGTTATTCGTATTTGACACATGTTCTCAGCATTGCTTGGTTGGGATTCGATGTTATGACTATTTTTTGATTTTTTTTTTCTAATTTCAGACTGTCTCAAATATATATTGTCCTTATCATGAAGACCATCCAGAGAACCATTTACTTACTATTTGCTGTAACTTTCTATTGTATACACCAGTCTTATTCACTTCCGGCATGTAAGTATATTATATAATCAAATAATTATACATTCACGCAATTTCATACTTAGGGACCACATTTCAGAAGACTAGTAAGCGGGCTCATATCGTAGGTGTTTCATTACGACAACAAGAAAATAATTGCAATTGTTTTTATAGAATTGTCTAAACAGAGATTGCAAGTAAGGAATCATGTGCGAGGTATACTAAAACATTATTTTCTTTACCGAAACATCCCCTAAACATAAAGTCGTCACAACTACACCATCCCTTGGTAAACAGGACATCATCATTTCTACACTGAGACATCCCCTTGTAAACAGGAAGTCTATTAAAATATTCTTCCGTCGAGCAATCTAATAGTAAGCAGAAAATCAATCATGTTTTCACTGAGCAAACAGGAAGTCATTCGTAGCATTAATTCATTTACATCAGAGTCACCCGCTCTCTGTCACCATTTGACCGATGGGAGGAACATTTATATAAGCTACAGCAATGTCAGAAATAATAAGGTCAACCATGATGTTTTGGTAGTTAGGTAAGACGTGCTTCTGGTGTTGTCTCTCTATTTTTAGGAATTTGTTGCAAATCCCATGATTGTTTTCTTTATTATTCTCATTTTTGTTTTGCATTGATTTCTGTAATTTCTTTTTGAGGTTGCGGTAAATGAAGGATTTTGTTATTTTATTTCTCACTCGGTAAAAATGAATCTGCATTAAGTAGGATTATAACATTATTTTCTTTTTGCATTTTTTGCTATCGCAATTACCGTCAGTGTCAATATTTTTCATTATTTTTTCTCTTAAACATTCACATCTCTGAACCCCTTTTTAACACCAAAATGTTGCTGTAATTGTGCTGTAGTAAAACGCGGTCAACATATGTGTTCTCATTTCATGCTTTTATTGAAAGAGATGATACATTTCATGACACAGGAAACATACATATCATGTCAATTACATGAACACTAAATATTACAATTGTACATGGACTTAAGCTCATGAGCTTTTTAGGAATAAAGTCATAATATATACATATATATCGTATGTGATTGAACCTAGTAATTGTATACGTAGATAGTTTGTTTGTTCGGATGTTCGTTGTTGCATTAGGTGTTTATGTACATGTGCTAGCTTTCTCCCTTGATTGTTCTATTACTTGTTTGATATCATTTATTTCACAGTACATTCTGAATTAATTCACTTGATTATTAATACAAATCTTACCATTTGACCGCCCCTGGAGATAGTTAAGATAGGATTGCATGTCATTCTATCTATTTGAAAGTTCAATTTTGTCAATAAAATTGGTTGAAATCAAATAAACACTGTACTGTATGTTAAAAATTCATGTAATATAACATGAAATGTGCGTTGTGTATAAAACATTCGAGGTTTTCGTGGTTGCTATTGAACCACGAACATTTAGTGTTATACAGTATACGAATATTAATCGCAATTGCTTTTTTTATGAAATGATTAAGATCTGAAGACGTGAATACATACTTACATTTTGCTTTTCTAATGTGTTTTATCATTTGTTTCAGATAAACAAAGTTCGAACCACCTCAGTAAGTATAAGTATAAACTATGATTTGCACAAGTTACTGTCATTTACGAAAAAGCCCAAGATAATAAGATATCATCATATGAAAAGATATGTTTTTTAGCTCACCTGGCACGAAGTGCCAAGTGAGCTTATCCCGTGACGCGGCGTCCGTCGTCTGTCCGTCGTCCGTCCGTCCGTCCGTCGTCCGTCGTCCGTCGTCCGTCGTCAATATTTTACTTTAAACGACTTCTTCTTAATAACCGAAAGACCTAGGGTGTCGATATTTGGTCAGAAGCAAACTGGGATGAAGGGCTACAAAGTTTGTTAAAATTAATGACCTTTACCCATTTTCAAGTATGTCAAGTCAAATATGTTAAAAACTTTAAACATCTTCTTCTCGATAACCAAAATGCCCAAGGAGATGATATTTGGCCAGTAGCATGCTTGGGTGAAGGGCTACCAAGTTTGTTCAAATGAATGACCTTCAATTATAATCAAGGTCACAGAGGTTAATTGTCTTAAAAACCCTTTAAACAACTTCTTCTGAATAACCAAAATACCCAGGATGATGATATTTCGCCAGGAGCATGCTGAGATGAAGGGCTACAAAGCTTGTTCAAATGAATAACCTTCACCCATATGCAAGGTCACAGGGGTCAAATATGTTAAAAACTTTAAACAAATTCTTCTGAGTAACCAAAATGCCCAGGGTGATGAAATTTAGTCAGTAGCATACTAGGATCAAGGGCTGCCAAATTTGTTTAACTGTATGACCTTGAATCATAATCAAGGTCACACGGAGCAAATATGTTCAAAATATTTAAACAACTTGTTCTGAATAACCAAAAGGCTCAGGATGTTGATATTTAGTTAGTAGCATGCTGGGATCAAGGACTACCAGGTTTGTTAAAGTGAATGACTTTGACTTATATTCAAGGTCACAGGAGTCAAATTTGTTTAAAATCTTTAAACGACCTCTTCTGAATAACCATGGGTCCCAGGATGTTGATACTTTGCAAGTTGCATCCTGAATTGAAAGGCTATAAAATGTGTTCGACTTTCAATCACAGGGGTTAAATGTTTAAAAAAATTGGGCCTCTTGTATCAAAATTCCATTGCTTTCAGGGCAATACGTGTTATAAAAGTTAAAACTGCTGCCGTATCATGAAACCAAACTTAGGAAATTTTTATTTTTTTTTATTTTTAAAAAATAAATTTAAGCTCTTTTCTTATAATCTTACACCTTTCAATCATTTGGTTTCTATTTTACTTCAAACCATAACATAGGAGTGTTGTACAATAATTTTAAGGATTTTCGTACCACTGCTTAAATCTATAACTACTCATTGGAAACTGTTTTATCGAGCATAACTACAGCTTTGATAACTCAATTCTGAAAAGAAAAACATACTTCGAGAATTTTATGAAAAATGAATGAAAGATGAAAAGATACAAATTTAGTCAAAAACATTGAGTGTAAAATATTTCAACGAAAACGTGTCGCAACATTACAGGAGCAGCTGATCTCTCGGTCAAACTAGGCAAAGCGGAACTTTGAAAAAGTGACCAGCTGGTCAACATATGCTGTTTGTGTATACATTTTAAACTTAAATAAAAACATTTCTCTGAATATCGATGCGTACGACGACTTCGGGGATCGTACCCAGGCCGCCTGCGTGGAAGGCCGGAGTGTTAACTACTTGACCAATCCGCCCATATAATAATTTAATATTATATAATATAATGTAATATAATTGATATAAAATAGTATTTATCCTTACAGAGAAAATATGCAAAGCAAATTGTCGTGCTCAGTCATGTTTCATACCATATCCTGAGGAATGCCACCACTACGTACAATGCTACAAATCTGCTGCGGAACAAGAATACTCAGGAGCGTATTTGAGGTCTTGTCCTCTCGGCCTAGTATGGGATGCGTCTGCGTTGACATGTCTTAGACTAGAAAGGAGTACTACAACATGTCTAGGTATGTATTTGAGCCTAACGTCACTAAAATGTTTTCTTCTAACGGTTTTTTCGCCTTATTCGAGGCGAAAGGGAAAGTTTTACAATGATGCTGATCCAATTGTGTGCATAGCCCTATGAACGCAATTTCTTGTGTTAAATCTTATAGAGGAACTTGCAGTGGAATTGTAAATATAGACATATGTCACGTGATTTATATCCGTATCGGTCATCAAACAATGCCAATGTGTCCTATGATTGACTAACACATTCATTGGTGTACAACAAGGTGATACCAATAGTCCCTCTCTTTTTCTGGTTTTTGCTCAAACTTAATATGTAAGGGTATTAAATTCGATTTTGTCATGGCTTATTCCAGAGTTTCAGAGAAGACACATGTATCGAGACCGGAACTTTAAAAATTACGATGACACCCAACTAAAACTAAAATTCATCATTGTACAAAATTGTGTTTGGTTTATTTATAACATGAAATGTGTTGACAGTTGATATTTCATTCTTATTTAGATGTTGATATAATCGACGATATACAAATGAAATGTGTTTAAGCTTTAAATGTACATTAAACGGACAATGATATGATACAAATTCGATGAAAAGCTGTTTTTACTGTGTGAAGATCGAATGTTATATTTCTTATACCAGTACTCGCAGTATATTGCATGAAAAGGTAGCAGCTTACCTGCTTTTCTAAGTATCGGAATTTTCTTAAAAAAACAACAACAACTGCCTTTTTATTAATAAATTATGCAACACGAGTTTTGTAACATATGCCATAAACATTTGTAAATAAAGATGAGTAGTTTACATCTTGCAATCAATAATAGTGAGGTCTTAAATTGTATTTCCAGACCAATATTAAGATGAAAAACTAACCTCAGCGAAACACACGGACTATTTTCTCAAAGTGAGCTGTTTATTGTCAATGGAACATTGCTTTCCACTAAATTTTTAACATTCTTACCCAATTGATATGTTAATAATCGTACTTTATTATTTAAAGATAAGTGTTCAAAAGATGAGACTCTGACGTCATACAGGCACGGATCTTTTTGTTCCCAATATTATGCGTGTGCAAATGGAACTTCGGAGCCGAAGTGTTGCAGACGCGGGGAGGCTTTTGCTGACGGACAATGCGTCCCAAGTACAGCCTGTAATTGGGAATGTCCAGCAGCGTATGCACCTATTGAAACAACAACTGCCTCTAGTGAAAATATAACCACTTCTCTAGCTCCTGAAACTACTACAGGTAAATAGTTTTGTTGTTTTATTAGATACAAATGTTAAGGTGATATCCTAGCTGACACACAGTTTAAGTATGCCTTTGTATCACTGATCGATCACTCTCCAAGTGTCCAAGACAACGCACTTGAAAACTCTACTACATTTTTTGTATACATAGTAATCGGCCCTTTATTATGTTTTTGATAACAATAGCTCAACTGTTCAAGGATGCGTCCTTTTCGTGAATGTCATTTTATGAATGTAGCCCAAATTAATTTCATGTAAAATTTTATTACATCGACTTTGTTCTAATTCACTAGTTTTTTTAATTCGGATCAATACATATCATCTTTTTATGTACTTACTGCCACTTTTATCCAGGTACAAACTAACAGATATGACTATACCTATTAATCAATAAGATGATTTTGATCAAAATAAAGGCTTTGTTTGCATTTGGAGAAAAAAACAATTACTTTCTAAATTTTTGTCTTCGTTTTATATATTTTTTTTATTGTTTGATGGAGTGTTTATACTTATAATGCTGTTTTTTAAGCTACCAACATTAATATTTAGACAGTCTGCTGGAACCATACTGTACCTAGTATTCATTTGGAGATCAACGTTATGATTTTTACTGTTCCGTGTAACGGAATAACCCCTTGTTTCCATAAATTTGTTTTTTCAATTACAATGTCATCAAATAATGTGATTTTATAAAAAGTTAGTGTGTTTTTAATAAGATATCCATGATGTTATTATCATTTACCATAAACTGCAGATATCCGTGTTAAATACCTTTAACTTCTAGCTTGGGAAAAAGTGTCAAATGGCTAAATCCTGACGATACTTTACATATCACATCTAAAATGCATTCCTCCGAACTAAAAAAATAAAACAAAACAAAAATGAAAAACATCTCTATTTTATGCATACATATTGGTCAATATTTTTCGTTTATAATGTTAAGTCTGATATGTTATATATTTTATATCTACAAGTAACTTTTACATTTATTCTATTTGTGAAGTGTGCACAAAAAACGCTGTCTCTAGTAAACCACAGGATTACATGGAGAATGGTATAACTTTGGTTTGCGCCGATGGAACACGTTTTGACGAGAGTGAGTGTCAATGCGTTTTCGATCCATCCTTCACCCCTTCCACGGGTAAGTTTAGAAATTTTATTTTAGATTAATGTAAATAACACCAATAAAGCCTTTTTTATTTTTACTCGCTCGATTGAAATGTCTGGAAACTTAGAAATTAAACAAAAATCTGATATCATCAGTATGTATGTTCAATTTCGCCGAGAAAAAAACTTTACTAAATTAGCAAGCTTTGACATTCTTGCATACTACATATTTAATCAATATCAATTGTCACTTTATATCATCAATATCAATTGTCACTTTATATCCAACCTGTCAGGCTAAGCCCTTTACCAGGAGGTCAAAGGTTGCCACATTCATTTCATCACATGATATAGGGGTGAGAACCTTTGGCGTCCTGATAAAGGACTAAGCTTGAAGGCCTTGATTTTTTTTATTGATTTAAGCATGAAGTCTAATAAATATATAGATAGACTAAATGCACTTCTTTGCTTTCAGACTCATCCGCTTCCGTTCGACACACACACAGCAATATTCGTTGTGTTATACAAACGCACATGTATTATTTTGAAAGATAAATTCGAATAAAACGTATGGGATGTAAATATATCATTAACTACTTAACACACAGAATAAAGAGTCTGTCACAACATATTATATTATTTTCAATTTATAGTATAATAATTTATATAATAATATATTTAACGATTTTTGTCACAGAATGCTTTCCAGAAATGGTAATAAATTACGACGCCGATAAAGAATCCAGGTTTGACGTCAAGCACGATACTGATGTTCGAAAGGTCAGAGGGGGAGGAAAATTCAGCTCCAAAGACAAGTCATCAACTAAAGTGGATCATTATAATGGAAATGGTAATCTTTTGAAACATTTCAACATGACACTCATCTTTAAGTCTGAGAGCACGGGGAATAGTAAACAGTTCCTGATCACGAATTGCCGTGCTACAGAAACGGACCAACCGAGTATAGGAATAATGGTCAGTAACATCAACGGAATGCTCCTCTTCGTAGCAGACGACAACGCCACAGCTCCTTCAAGCATCAAAATGAAACTCAAATTCAAGGTAAGAACGTTTATACGACTCCCTGAAATGTGCATTGTGGGAAGGGTGAAGAGAAGGTGTGTGTTTGTTATAATTATTACAGTTTTTTGACAGAATGTGTTATGAAATAAAGCCAGATAAATATGTTCGTCTGCATTCCATCTTATTTCAATGATACTTTACGAATCTCGTTTCCAAAGGCGAATATTCACGATACTTTGATGTAGGATTGAATTGATCACATAACAATAATTCTAAACAGAAAATATATCTGTCATAGCATCAAAATCGAAATTTACGATGCCATCATCCATGATGGATAAATATAAAACTGATTTTATATAAAACGCACTCTCAAAAAGGGAAATTTGTCTTAACGATGTGTGACGTTTGCGGGTTTAATCTTTATTTAATCATCTCAATTATTACGAATTAAAATTTAATAATCAAAATGAATAATGCACTTGGAATAGTTCATGCAAAATGTTTTACGTCCACTTTGAAAACATGGAGTTTCAAAATCTCATTTTTTAAACATAGACATAATACAATAGAAATAGTATATGGTAATAGTAATTATTACAAGGGTTATGTCATTTGATATTTTGTTATAACTATTTTTATGTTACAGTTTAGCTATTTTGCTATTATATGCAATTTAGTGGTGATGCAGTACTTTCGTCAGTTCCTCCTATGATATTTGAATTGACAAAAATGCATACATCACCAATTCAGCTTATTTCTAGATAATATAATATCCTACAGTTTTGTTAAATTGAAGAGAATATGAAAAAAGTCAATATAGTTTCATTCCATGCAAAACATATAGTTATAATGATAATTTTCGAGGTAATTTAGACGTTAAGCGTTGATCGAACTAAAGTATAACTGTACGTTTATTCATTTTTCATGAACTAATGTCAGATAATGTACTCAGTTCGCAAAATGATGTAAACGCAAAAATTAATCAGTCTAGAGTAAATATCAATTTGACGCAAAATAGAGCAGTGTTCAGTAAAGGCATGTTAGACGCAAAATATGAGTAGTTTACAGTAAACATCAATCAGACGCAAAGTAGAAGTTGTTTAAAGTAAACATCAATAAAACGCAAAATTAAAGTAGTTTATTGTAGACATCAATTAGACGTGAAATATAAGCAGTTTACAGTAAACATCAATCTGACGTGATACCAAATTCTTGATTTCAAAATGAAAACAAAAGACTGCCATTTAATCTTGCTTTCATGTTCTTTATTAGAAAGGATCCTGGAACTGGGTGCGGTATATTTTTGACGGCCGTACCTTGCAGGCTATGGTAGTTCCTTTACCAGATCATCTGGCAGATCCTTCTACTGTCACAGAGTTCTACTCGAATAACGTCACGTTAGCCGGTACGTCACATCCTGTTCTTATATTTGACGTCATTGTATATCATATCATGTCATCATTGATATATAGCGTTCAGATATAGGTAATACAATTTTGTGATGTAATTTTTATTTTGCATTTTAAATGGCCTTTCCTTCTTTTAATTAAAATGACAATAAAGTGACACTGGACATAAATATATATTGAAATACAGAAAAAGGCTTATACATAGTAGGGGGCAAGGAAGTTATTCCAACAGTGAAGACAATATGAGGTTGTCGAATTGTCAGAGCTAGCCGCTCCTTTATCAAGAAGCAGAAAAATACAGATCATTTACTTTACATAAATCAAAATAGCAATATAAAATGATATAACTTATATTTAAAAACTATGAGCCCATCGGCTAGCATAAGCCGAGGACAAAATTTATAATGACCGCATTGTTGACCAATGATACTGTGTGTGTGTGTGTGTGTGTGTGTGTGTGTGTGCGAACAACGACAAAGATATTATAACATACCGAAAAAAACTACTCTCTTCGTGTCCCTTGTCACACTGCTTACCACAACATACCTTCACGTTATTTTGGTCAATATATGTTTTGAGATCTTCCCCTTAGTAATCCCCCTTGATTTATACTAAAAACATTTGATATTTCTCTGAACAATTGGTAACAATCTAAAAATGTTAATCCCACTATATTGTGTTATTTCTTTTACTTCAGCTCCAAGCGAAGACCCAGTGATGTTATTATCCAGCCAGAATCCTCTTACAATTGGTTATTGTAATGGTCATGGATATGACGGCCTTGTGTATAGGGTAAGTACATATTTGAAAATGAATAAGAAACATATATAAAATGCAACTTGTTTTGAAGAATTGTAGAGATAATTTAAAAACAAATGTGCACCAAACATATTAAGCCGATTAAATATATATTTTAATTATTTATTTCCTCTGAGATATAAAACAATATGTGTCGCTATCTTTTTATTCCAATAAACTGATACTACAAATTGATTAACTTTTAGCTAGCTGTAATTTCATACGAGTCCTCAAAAATAATACATGGCTACACAGATTTTTTAAAAACATTTAGCTTCAATTTAAAACCGATTGATGTATATAGACATATTTATTACATAGAAAGAAATAACAAATATGGTACGTGAAACAAGAAAATTTATTTATTCCTCTTTTTAACACATTTTGCTGACAAAATATAAAATTTGATAAATAGCGGAGACTGTAAAATTATGCTATGTTTTTATTTAATCACTGTATCACGGGAAATTTTCGCGCAATCAAACTTTTGCCCTTCGCCTGTTAAATCCATACTAGCCTAGTTGGTATTTCGCCCTTCACATTTGATTACTACGTCTATTTTGTTGTTTACTGATTTTAGTTGTAATGATAAATTCATTAGGGAGAACAAAAAAGACGAAATTTAAACTTTCCCGGTATACAGTAAATATATTATTTTTTATATGCTTATATATGAATTAATGTTTTGTTTGTAGGCTGACCTCGCTCCGTGGGTATGCAGCATGTACATGGACAGTTTAAGTGGTCTATAACTGGACATAGCACATCGTTAACCGACCTATTACGACATAAATTATGATAATTAGTATATTTACATTTTTAATTGTGTATTAAAACTTCAGCAAATTCTACACAAATGGGTTTCATGATCAATTGTTCCCCAATATGGTATTGATGCATTGCTACAAATAACTTCGAGATAACGAAGTTCATGCATATTACGAATTACGAATCGAAATCGATGTGACTGGAATGTGTAAGAAAAAATGAGATTGATGGAGGGAAACATTCTATTTTAGTTCATACTAGTATATAATTATGGAAATTCACGGTAACATACTAAAGCATGAAGTCAAATGTTCAATGAAATATTTTTCTTTCTCTGTTTTAGCAAAAGAAGTAAAATTAAAACTATTGCCATGCATAGCATAGTGAATTTGATATAAAAACAAATTCACTTTGGCACTGTTTTCAGAATTAAAATGCATGTGGATAAATTTTGTTCATAAACCATGAAATTTTAGCTTACAAAAATAGCTTTACAGTATCATATGTTTTAGTTAAATTTTGATATAAATATTTTGTTGGAATAATTTGTAAAAAGACCCCATCTCTAATCAAAAATGATTTTAACGAGGGCTATGTACTTGTATATGCAATTTAAGTCGATACTCACAACACTCAGTTTCATAAGCGAAAGAAATGTATTTATAAACATTTCCGATACGAGACTCTCGGGGGGGTCTTTATTTTAACGTATGGAACGTATCTATTAAACGGTCCAAAACCTTCTTTTCAGTTCGTCTGTATGAATATAAAGAAATAACATTTAAATGTAAGGAAAACTACCTTTCAGTGTCTATATGAAGTAGAAAAGTAGTGGGACTCTTCTTGCAAAGGTGATTTAATCTCCATTGCGAAAATAAATGTTCGCAAAAATCAAATATTTACTGCAAAAATTCTCTGCGACGGTTTTATCATTTTAATGTTTGAATATTAATATGCTTCTCATGAACGTTTCATCAGCAAAGGTGAAACAACTACATAAGCCATTAATTAATTTTCTAGGAGCGTGATCAGATTTATGTCAATTATTGCTGAAATTAGCGATGCGATATTATGTTAGTAATGATATACAACATTTTTTTGATGACATGAAGATTCTGAATGAGTTACAATTTTAATTTTTATACTTCTTTATAAATTCAATTACTTGATATGTAAATGCTATAAGATTAAGTCTCAACTTGTTATGTATTTGTTTTGATGATATATGCATTGTTTGCGTAAGACACAACAATGATGACATGAACTGATTGTTATGACGTAATAATCAGCAAGACGTCATGAATTTACATGTTTGCTATGTTTTCAATATTCGCGAGAATAATTTGAACATTAGTTCGCGTTTCTTCACTCAGAGTATATGTCTTACATTGTATATAAATGATTGTTCGCGAAACACTTGAATTCACCATCAGTAGGTAGCAAATTAAAAACAAAATGAGAATTTGTACATTTTTCCTCTATTTAAGAAAACGTCGTATATGTGTGATGTACTAGAAACTATCTGCACTTATGTTATCTGTGAATTATGTCAGAAGAAGTTTTTGTTCGTATGTAATATAGATTGTGCCAATAAAGTCCCTTTTGTTCACAAATATTGTGTTTTATCCGGTTTTGATTTATCTGATTATATTTAAACATTATACGTCAATGTGACGTAGTCTTAAAGATATTTTCTCGTGAATGGTTTGTATATTCTATCATTATTTTCAGGACATTCTAATTGTTACGAATTACAATGATATCACAAAGAGTAACAAACTGAGGAAACATTCTTACGTTTTGATACGCTTTAAACCCGGTACTCGACGAGTTAAAGCTGAACAAGGGCCCTAGTATTTCTGTGCGTTGATACAGGACGTGTAAACTTTAAAACCAACCAGATCATTTACCGGAGCCTCGACATACACACGTACACACACACATTTCCCCCTTTATGTGAAAGACCACTAGAATTCCATTGTAATTTTTCGTTCACAAATTTACATCTCGTCGGATTCGTTTCGGATATAACTAGAGTTCTTCTGGAATAGTGTACTACCGCTGACAATGTAGCTCAGTTGGTAAGAGCGATAGTATAATGTTCACAGCTTTTGTAGAAAAAATGAGCAAGAGGCACAACATCTGAGATCCGAGTGAATGAAGCAGACGACAATATTGGGCGGAAGTTCTATCATCTTCACTGATGAGTCTATTTCGGTATAGTTGATAAGTTTTATCCTTATTGTAGGGAAACACGAATGTTTGTATCTCTCGATTTGTTCACTCTGGTTTTGCCCCCTTGAAAAATAAATAATCTCAGAGAAAACATAAACACACATTATTATTATTTACTTTGTTATATTGTTATTGTGACGTTGAGAATGAAAAGTCAACTCTCTGATATTTATCCAATTTGTTCAATGACATAACGATGACACAATTAATGAATATATTTCAAAGAAATAGCAAATTGATAGCAATGAATTAACTAACTGAAGCAAATATTGATAGGGGGAAAATGTTATAAAGAATCAATAATCACCTTCTTGGTATCGATTGAATTACTGAGAGCAATAAGAATTGACGTGATGAAGAAATATTAACATAGAGACACTTGAAAAAAAGTACAAAAAGAAGCCGCGTCCTCCAAGAGAGAACAGAGGATAGTGACAACGAAACAACGAGGCACATGTTTTTATCAATAATAAAACCGCCGGAAGTATATTTCCCAATGAAATCACCATGATTACCATATACAACTCTCCCGTAGTCTTCACCTACCTGAAATGTAAAAACCTTTGTTATAAGTGTGTACGTCAGCAGTCGACATCTTTCACGGAAACCGCAATATCCACAGCAAGTTATTGAATTTCGAATGATCTACGATCTCGACAAAGATATTGTAATCCATAAACTCAATCATTCTCTGTATATGACACATTGGCTCTGTCATACCATTCACAAAAAAATCTCCAAAATAGTCATACATTGATATCGCCGTTCATCTCATGTCGCTCCATGTCTGTTACCGTCAATCAGATGATGTGTCTGCAAATTGTTTGATGTAAGGAACCAAATCTTTGCCAATACCACTCATATACAATATGAATATGTATGACACTGATACCAATCCCTGCATTAGGCCTGTCATTGAAGTGTTTGCCAGTTTGATTTATATCCATCTACGCCCATTTTCTGTCTCCTGTCATGGTGGATAGACGAAAACTATAAGTATCCACATACAATGATACAATGATGTTAAACTTGTAAATCAACCATCATGCCAAACCCTGTAAAATGTTTTGGGTGATATCAAAGAAAACCATTGTGGCTACCTAGCCTCGTCCAGATTTTTTGGAGATTTCATCAGAAATAGTTGACAAATTGGTAACAACTGTTTGAGGCTAAATATAAAAGCTAATCATGTATTTCAAACATTTTTGTTCATGTATTTGCTAAAATTATGAGAAAAAAGATAAATAGATAATAGATAAAATAGAGATAGAGGTAAATAGATCACGTCTTCTAACCTGGTCCTTATACACAGTTGCCGGGTTTTTTTCTAGAGTACTATGGAGCATACCTGCAATAACAGATATATAAAATATCAGATAAAGGGGTTGAACAAGATGTGATACCCTAAAAATGAATTTAAGGTGAAACGTGTCAGAACTTGCAGGTTAGTTATTATTTTGTAGGTGGAGCTGGTCAAAAAAGACCTTTTCATTTATGTCTATTTTTTAGAAGCTATAGTGGGGGCGGGGGCAGTCTGGGGGTAGACCATCAACAGCCCTTTTGCTTACAGATATAGCACGAATCGTCGCCTGATTCAGGTTTGTGTATGGGATACATTTTGATTCCGCCATTAATAACCATACACTTTGTTTAAAATCAGTTCAATATAATACATAAAGGTCTAAAACGCTGATATAATGCACTTCAAATGTGGAAATTCGGAATATATAAAAAAAATCGTTTAATATATTCCTGCAGCATACCTTCCAATGAATGAATATTACACACATGCGCATTTATTAAATAAGTGCATTTTTTTATTATGATTTTCATAAAAAATGTATTTACAGTAACTTGAAATGTTAATTGAAAGGGCAAAGAAAGTATGACGTCAAAGCCGAACTTTGTTTATAGTTCAGATTACAAAACAACAAACTCGTGACTCGGTTATTTGCTGTTGAGAAGAAAGACAATTTAAAGATATATGCATATAACAAATTAAAAAAACAACAACAAAAGATTGAATATGGAGACATGTTTTAATTATATCTGACTCACAAGACAGACGATATCATTTTGAAATAAAAATTATATTAAACATGACAAATTGTAATAAGGGAACATTTCCAAACCTTTGTAGTAGTGGAATACAATGGAACTTTATGTAATATATAGTATATGTAATGAAATACAAATTAAACTATAAAACGTAATAAGGCTAGTCATATATTCATTTCTAATTGTTTGTACTCTTTGTCCTCAAGATGTGTTGACATCTATGATAATTTCCCCTCAAGAATGTCGCCTCCGGTAATATGATCTCATTTGCATGTTAAAGTTTTCAGAGATACCTCTGTTGTCTTATTCCACGCTAAGTGTGTCACTGTCATTCAAGCGGACTTTGTCAACGTGAAAAAGGTAAGTGAAAGTTTCTTACTAAGACTAATATTGAATATTTTTTCTCCTTTGGTAACACATACTCCACATGCCGTTCATCGTGTATATGGTATCACATCTCAATACATTTCATTATCAGGTAGAAAATGTATTACCGAACCTAGTCCATTCATCTCATGTACATTTCCCATCAGTTATTTCATAGGCATATTCCATGCGTATAAATTGTTGCCGAACGTGCTAATATAAAGCAATATGGTAATGATCCATGGGACTATTTTTAAAATTCTGAATAAATAAAAAGGTTACCTTCACAGGAACATGGTCAGTGATTATTATTATATTTTTAAATATATTCCTGTAACTGTCTGCAGTTTGTTATGTTATCTTAAAGCAATGAACATATGAACATATGAACAAGTATGTCCCGTCTCAGATAAAATAATAGAAAATCAAAAGAGAAACGCACAGTCGTATTCGTAATTTTCAGAGCTAACTGATGCACTGATTATAATGAGACGGTATAATGAGTAAATAGGACTGAAAGTATGTGTGTAACATATAAAACATCAGCTTACTGAAAAAACAACACCGCGTTGTACATTTAAGACGTAAAAGCATTTTGAAATGTGTAATTGCGCCCGGTTGAGTAAATGGTCGTGTAAAGGTTTTGTGCAAAATACAACAAAAGGTACAAGGCAGGGGTTTTATGGTAACCTACATGCACAAGAAACGTCGAATTAAGGAGATCAACAGTAGGTCTAACTATGTCAGGAATGCTTCTATGAGATGATTTATTGATCAGGATGACTCTAACTCTCAATAAGGAATTATATTACTTACCTTTTCTATGTTACCTGTCCCGCAAATCGTTCTCAATACCAACTGCATATGATGTGCTACTATAATCGACATTGAGCTACAGTCAAAGGAACATAACTCCTACAGACATACGCGTTATCTCGAATTCGATCAAAAGGTTCTGAGAGGATACGTGGTTTATTACATCATCAAGTGATTTGCCTGGACCAGTAACAGAAGGATATTCTAGAACTGACAGGATAATTATGTGCAAAGCTTTTGTCAAGTTTTTTAACAGTTGAGATATGTGTGTAACTTCTGAAATAATGTATTTAAATATTTACTACTTATAAGTTAATTAACGTGAAAATGTAAGGAGTGTTTATTGTACATTAGTTAAAAGGGATAATTGTTCATCTTCTGAAATGAATGAAAAAAATGACAAGAACAAGAAGAAATGGGCTTATAAAGACAATACATGTACAGAAGTTGCAATTTAACGACACTGATAAATAGGAAATGTCACACGCTTTTGTTTATTCTACTTAGCGAAGCAATGAACCTTTATCATTTGTAGTATAATGACGTTATATATATTACAGCGCTTCTCGTATTTATTCGCATTCCCTAATTAGGATAGCCACTGATTATAAAATCACAATATTTTTCCATTTTACTGAAAGCTGAGGCAATATGTCATAATGCCTGGAACTTATAAATGTCGGCAATTTACAGCAAAATGGAGTGCAAATACTCATACGGTTCCAGTATACATTAAGCATGTAACTAACCATCATTATGGAGTTGACAATTGCATTTGAATCAGTTAAATTCCATACCCTTTGATACAAAGCATATTGGTCAGATAGGCAATATGTCTGAATACACAGGTCTTATTAGGAACTTTTCATGATAAATGTGATTACAGTATTACGATGGGTTGGACAAAATGTCCGAAGACAATTTTGGTAAAGGGGAACTGATATGTGTTATGACAGCTTTATCTTAACGTATATCTACGTGATATGTTCATACCATAGCAGTATTGTTTATTATTTACGTGTATTATAAATAACGAGTAGTTTTGCCGTATTTTCTTATAAGATATCATATACTGTATCGTGACATGTTCAAGCTGTTTATCAAAATATGAAATAAATAACATAGCAATGAATAGATTATAAAGAAGTCTGTTATGACCTTAACACGGTCAAAACAAAAATACCGGGGTTCTTTCAACGTTTTATTTTGATTTTGTCCTGTTGAACACTGTAAAGTTGTTATAGAACCAAATACCTCACACTACAAAAACCTCAATTTCGGGGTTCCGGAGGGGTATGACTGAGGACGAAAACAAAATGTTTATTAAAAACTGATTAAATAGATCTGTCGATTATACACAAATTACTTGGTAAGCATGCCATAAGATAGTTGAAACACCATATCAAGAAATCTGGCAGCTTTTCAAACAGATATTAGTGCCTGTACTTATGCCCACATGCTCTAAAGCTTACTCAAGGAAAATACAGAACTAATGCCTTTCTTCCCAGTGTAAACAAACACCGGCTCTCCAACTTAGGATCAGTGCTGAATATATTGAGGCAGTTCCTGTTGTAAAAAAAACCTTGGGTACACGTCGATCTCCTAGAATTAAGAACGCTGGATTTATCCAATGGTTTATTACTTGTTTATGCGTGTAAGATTTTGATGCAGTTTATTCTTACCTCCCATTTGGATTTTGGTAATGATTAGCCATACTCAGAAGTATCAAAAGAGAGAACAAATTACCTGTGCTATATTTGTTGTATGAATTACATCTACGATGGAACATTTTTTTCAGTGTTCTCCCCAGAATGTGTTGATGCGCTATGGTATATATTTCCCTCTTTAATTGCAGCCCTCACTGCCAACCAATTATGCGTCGTGACCAATCTATCATGCGCGACGCCACTTTAAGAAGGAATTCTTAAAACAATATTAATATTTGATTTTTCATGAGTTGTCCCTCTGTATCAGCTGTCACGATCACTACAGTCGGCGACAAAATCCTAGTTCCGTTCCAAAATGTCGTTTTGTGGAAATAGATGTTTTAGAAAAGTAGCAACCATTTTTGTGGAATAGTTTTTTGCTTCATGAAAGTAAAAAGAAATCGGACAGGATGTAATCTGTTTATATCTGCATTTTGGTTTCCTTAGCGCAGACTTCTCGCAAATATAATGTCACCTAACATGCACGTGAAGATCAAACACCTGCATACTATTTGTATAGTGTAGATTTATGTTTTCCCCGTCCATTTAGATATTCTTCTGTTAATCTTAAACGATTATTATACATGTACTGCAAAGCTCCTTCAGTAAAGTTTGGACATTATGTAGCGTGGATAAAATGCATACATTTCTTACATGCATTCTTTACTATAGTGGTGCAGCTAACTTTCTGGCCATGCAATACATAGGTCCGTTTTTCACTCTGTGATGAAACAAGGTATTTTATTACCCCAGTTGCCAAACTCCACTTGGACTTGAACTGGTTTAGTTGTGTTTCTGATAAAATTGACAAATTGAAACCAGCATGACTTTCGAACATTATAGCGTAACGTCATTATTCCGTCGTCCTCGACGACGATTTGTCCGCAATTGTCAATTGAAGATTAATCTGTGGTTAAGACGGGCGGTCCCTTTTCTCAGAAAATATAAATGCTGCATATAAAAAACCACCTATCGTATGTTCGTATGAAAAAAACAACAGCAACACATATATGTTTGATATATATCAGAAAAGCAGAAAAAGTATCCTTACTGACAAAGAAATAATTTGAAAAAAATGTTCTCAACAACGAGTCTTTAGTACTTTCATCTCGTATTTATTAGATAAATACAAAATATAGTAATCATATATAATATATTTCCCCCTTCAAATGCGAAAAGAGAAGTTTATCGGTTGTACATGTAATGAAAATAATTGGACGTTACTCCAGGTAAGGAGCACTAAAAGATCGTTCTCTAGTGTTTTGTCGCAAGCAGCGGACAAGAATCCTGAATACAGATGAAATGATAAATATTTTTTTAAATTTTACTACTTTCAGTGTACGTCTCTGGCTCCGTGGTAGGTCTGTCTAAAATGAGAAATGTCTATTAGGACGTAACACACAAACACACCAAAGTGTATACAATTTAAATTTCAGTAAAACACGTGAATGCTTTCGCGATTAGTAAATAAACAAACGATTGTGCTCACAATCCCTAAATTTAAGTTTTGACAGTAATAAGAAATTGGATTGATAATAGTGACATTAAACAATTAAATTTACATCAATCATTAAACTATGACATAAGAAAATGGTTAAAAGAATAATAACATCATTCATTTGGTCAATAACCCTTTTTTAATTAACACGTTTAATGACGCATCATCAACCGGGCCACGCTGTTCAAAGCCTGGTTAGCTTAACGATAATTTAAGGCAAAATTTTCATCTAGTATATTTTCAAAAATATTTAAACTCAAAACTAAAATGATATGTATAGGGACTTAAAGTGTCATCTTAAGATATATTAAATTTATAACAAAAACATATTGGTAAAGTTTGAAAGATTTAAAGAATAATAAACTGCATTTAGAAAATTTGTATTAGTGACGGTGTTAAGCTGATATTGCTTTGAATAACAGAAATAACTTAAATTAATTACTAACGAAAAAGAAATCACACCTGAGAGAAAAGTACAATTATAATTTTCATTACAGTTGTCATCATGTGATAAATAAGCGAGTCATTTTTTGTTGGCGTTCAACATTATGTGTCGAGTAAAGATCTGATGTATTGCGTCTACTCAAATGATAGTATTAAGGAAATGTTTTTATTGGCCGGTTTCATGTTTTATATCTTTGTTTATTGATATATCAACATCTAAATGTAATCAACATCTAAATACATTGAGATGTATATGTAGCCATGTAAATCCTATTTCAATCATGGCGATGTATTTCAATTTACGCTGCAAGCTCCGATATAAAACTTACCATAGGGCTAAGAACATATTTAGATAAGTGCCAATTTGAAAATTGTCCTTCCGCCTCGTATAACATGTGACAGTCGTAGAACGTATACATTCAGATGACGTTAGGCTATAAAAGGCATTTCGTTTGCACTCACGTTAAAGTAATGTCAATATAGCAAATATTATGGAGAGCTTACTTAACCGGATATATAGTTGTGTGCTT